GGTTCACTTTAGAACTATTTTTTCAAATTGAAGCCTTTAAACGCAGCCTAACAAAATTCGGATAACAATTATTATAAACTAAATCACAATCCTGAAGTGGTTTAAATCTTGTGGGAACAAATAAGTCGCAGATTTAGCAACGCTTCTCGCTAATGTCAACTACTCGTATACTATATATATATATATATATATATATATATATATATATATGCGTGAGTATGTGCGTATGCTTGCTATGCATCATTTGCAATGGTTTCATGCTCAGTTCTTCCCGAGCACAGAAAAAAGTGTTCCTGAAGGCTGATCATACCAGCCGCTATCTTAATGTTTTTTTTGGTGTTAAGAGTGAGGCATAAACGACATAAACAACAGAATACCGCTGTTTCAATCGCATGTCTTCTCTGTTTCCATTCTAATCCATCTTCACTGGTGACCAGAAAGATCAAATCGAGTGGGATTTCCCGAGCAACTCCATGGATAGCGGCCTGAGAAACAAATCAAACAGACTTCTTAGCGTGTGGCTATTATCCTAACCTTTCCTTAGGGCCATGCATCTTAAAGGAGATCAGGGAAAACCAATTCGATGAGTGAGACTGTAAAGCAGCCAGGCTACTAAGCAAATTCAAAATGGCGGCCTCTTCGCTTAAATTCTTAGCACATTAAAGGACGTTCTGCGAGAAGAAAGGTTACTCTCTATAATATCAAAACGTGGTTAGGGTCACGATTTCGGACATGATTTCTGGTGTGCATAAGAATCGTATGAATCCTGCGTACATCGTTTCATCAGCTAAAAGGGAAAAGAGATTGAAAGAAAAATAATGAAAACGGAGAAAACTGAATACAAGAAAAAAAAAACCAAATAAACAAAGATACAACACAAATCAATTCAGCGGGTGGTCTCTCCGATCGTCAATGCCAACAAAACTTGGTACAAGGATGTTGTAGAATGGTGACGACGTTTACCGTGACAACTTTAGGTTTTAATAGCCTAATTCCTTACTAGACACCAGGTACGCGAATGCTATACAAAATGAATAAGTAAGCAATATAAACGAATAAACACAAAGTGAAACGAAACTATTAGAATTAAATCATGCAGATTGCAGTGCAGAATGTGCGGCATGTTCTTTTCTCTTTGCACGGAGTATCAGCTATTTTAAATTATGGTATACAACAAAGAGAACAATGCAAGAGTTAACCTTCCCTAGCCTCAGCTAGTATCTTACCATTTTAATACCAGCGACTAATTTCAGATCAACTTGAAAGAAATGCAGGGTATGAAATTCTTTTTTTGATCTCTTCTTTGGGATCCATCCCGTGAAGCTATCTCCTATTCTTCCGGAGTATGACAGAAATGTTTCCTTTCGACTAGAAGACGCTGCTATTTGGCTATTCTTTACTTCTCCACTTGATAGACCGA